TAACCTCTAGGGATTTCCATTCGTCTCTTTTTTTGCATGCATTCAAGAATTCATCTGGTATAATCTCGTTGAGTTGCTAGTTTTCTGCCTTGAGTAATCGACCCATAATATGGGAACCCAATTATGCAGTCATTCAACTGGTTGTAAGCATAGGAATTGCATCTGATGTGAGTTTGCTTCGAATAAGTGGTATAAGCAAGTTCTATTGGTTGGAATAATTCAAAAGCAATTTGAATGTTTAGTACTGTTTGTGTTGCAGATCAACTTCTCGAAACGCAAGTGAAAACAATCAAAGAACTCGGAGATTTGACATCTCAATGCAAACGAGCTGGTCCAGGTTTGGGAGAATACATGTTCAATGAAAAATCATTTGAACATTGATAAATTCACTGATCAATTGTGTCGCATCATTGCTTAATGACAAAAATCTGACTGATGTTTATTTTTACTTAGTTTATCAAATACTTTTTTTAAATTGTTGGCCAAATCATCTGTTGCCAATTTTGTTGTACCCATAAATTTGAAGTTAGTTAGTGAGTGACAATCTATCATTTACTTATTTTGTCATCCATTTGTTTCATTTCCTTTTCCCATATGTTGCCAGAGTTGATGTATTGTATTTAACGAGTCATTTTCTGCTTCGCAATACATCAGCTGTGGATTTGAAAGCCTCTTATAATGGTTCTATTCACTTTTCGTTCCTAATCACTTGCAATTTCTATCTCTCTTCTTGAAATATGCCTCTCCAGATTTCTACCTCTTCCGTTCGCAATATTCTCAAATGTGTTACCCCGGCGAATGGTGTATCTCATGTTTTTTTTTTAAATCAGTCACTCGTATTTAATATCTTCATTATCTGTGAAGTTCAATGTACTCTGCGATCATTTATTCATCGAAATTTTCTTACATAAAGTCAACTTATATTTTGATTTTGGAATGAAGCGATTTTTATGTTAGCATTGTAAACGCATGGTATGGATTGTTTTTTGAATGGCATCGAAACGAGAGTGGTTTGACGTGTATCATTACTTCCTAGTGAGGCTGTGTTTTGAGGAAATACGTGACCATTTGGCAGCAGTAAGGTGAATTAGTCATAAATAATTGAATGCTTCCAATGAGCATTGAAATCATCCGATGAGGTCTTTTGTAAGGATTTCGCGAAACGCGAATGAAAATCATTCGTTCTGTTGCATTTTTTAAACTTCATAACTGACTGACTGATCAAAGTAGGTAATAACCGTTCAAAGCATTCTTTGCGATTCATAAGGACAACGTTCGGAGCAGAACGAACTAATCGAAGGACTGATAACAAAATCAATAAGAAAAGTCAACAAAACAAGTCAAAACATCTGCCTAAATCCATCGGAAAGGGGTGGAATCTTCGGCGGTCACAACTGTATAAAAAGTGAGCTATCTGATGCATAAGTCGTCTTCGGTGCAATCGTTCGGATATTCTCTTTCTGGATGCAATAGCCTCAAAAATATATTCCAGGGGCAATAACCTAACAACGCATCCTTGAGGTGAACACTTCAATTCAGTATTCTGTCAACAATCGTCACAATCCATTATTCTGTCGACGAACGCCTCAACTCGCTATTCTGTCAACAGTCATCATAATTCGGTATCCTATCAACGCTCGACGTTCGGTGACATAGTGATACAGTGATCAATATTGTTGTGTATTGTGTATTCCGTCGTTCAACGGTTTTCCCAAGTCCTCTAGGTAAAGTACCCCCAGTTTCTTCCCATTTCCCTTATAAGACCCTCTCTCTTACAAAGGACATGTTTTGATACGTTAATGAATAATAATGAAGGAAGGTAATGCAATTCAAATGAGTATCGATAATTTATCAATATTATTATCAGTTGTCAATATAAGTTATCAACATTACTATCAATATCAAATAATTTCCACGAATAGAAGAGACGTGGGTAAAGACAAAAGTTGCTACTAAGGGATGTTCTGAAAGTAGACGAATCAAGAGAAGAGAATAAAAGAATTATTAAAGTTATGTGAAGAGAATTATTTAAGTTCACGATATATTTACAATGTATGACAGAAGTAATGACATTTTGGTGAGTGATTCTGCTCAACGAAATTATTACATATGAGTTTATGGGAGTGTACTGTACACTTCTGGCAACACTAAATCAGATCACACTGAATGTATTCGAAGTTCAAGAAGACTGACCACGATTCAACCGGAGCACTTCATTTGCTTATGTNTGAATGTATTCGAAGTTCAAGAAGACTGACCACGATTCAACCGGAGCACTTCATTTGCTTATGTGGACAAGAGGATAATGAATATTAATTCGAAGTATATTGAAGAGATAGGTGACTGCTTATAATAAACTCTTGTGGTTGTTAATTGAATGTATCGTTGCTAAATTACATAAACTAGAATTCAATTATGGACCAAAACCACGAAATAACGTCGTTGATTTCATCGTAATCTATGCAAAGATTCACGATAATTGATAATGGGAATAGACGACAGTGTGGAGGAATAATGTAGTGAAGATGTAAATGCAAATGGACGAGGATGCTTTTGAAGTGCTACGCGTAAGATTATATCTTTTAAGGAAATCATCCCATTCAGCTTCATAATCACTTTCCTCCGTTCCGTTGTTATTGTCCAACAGCGCTGATTCGTTCAATTTCATTACATTGGCATACGTCGTCAATAAATCCAATATAACACCATTTGTCCAGCCAAAACCCTCCTGCACGATCATAAGTCAATGAATGATTTATTTTGATCACTTGCTCAACTCTCCTCTCACTATCTGTTAGTAATGTCTAGGCCAGGGGTTCTCACAGAGGGAGGGGGTAATTATCCATTTTTGGGTAATTTGGGAGTGTCAGGAAGGGGGAAGGATCGAGAAACCAAGTCTGATGCCATGCGTGGAAATAGTGAATTATTGTGGTGGCAGGGAGGTGGTAATAACAACCTACCAGACCATCCAAGGAGTAATGGAGCACCCGAGCTTGAGGACTACTGGTCTAGGAGGACATCTTTCGAGTGAGATTTTCGGTTGTGGATTCTTGATCCGTTATTTGTCTGCCAAAAGCGTTTTGCAGTTGAAACCATGATGTTATTAAGAATTATAATAATTGCTAGAGGGGCTGAGATATTCAGTTGTTGCTGATTGCGATAGGAGACATCCATCCGAAACCGTGAAAACCTACTTGATTTTCGTATTCACCGCCCCGTGCTGGTCGATTCATTGTGACGTCGTATTTCTCCCACATCGTCCCTTGCTTCTTGTAAACCGCATAATTTTTTGATACCCATTTCGTGGCCAATTCCAACGCTGTTTTTTGTAATCTTGAAATTGCTTTGGTTAATAATCATCTTATGCGTGCGCAACAAAGTTACTTTCGATCCTGATAGGTATGCATTGTGTATTGCGTAGTTGCACCCTTTGAGGATTACAACTCAGCAACATTCCGCATTAATCTCAGGCCCCAAAAACTGAAGGAAATTAAGTCGAAGGAGTCGTTTAACATAAAAGGACAATGCCCATGCTTTTGCATTTCGGCGATCCACAATGAAAAAAAAACCCAGCAGGAAAAAAGTAATTGATAATGAAGCGCACACTACTCTCATAATTTGGTGCAGCGAGCTGAATTGTTCATTTAAGAATTCGGAACCTTTATAAAAATTGTGAAATTAATAATAAAAGAACCGAGCAAAACTCAGCCGTATGACTCACTCTGGTTCTCCGGACTTACGAAGTCCCTCGATGACCATATGATTGAGCGGTGCCCATCCATTCGGATAATCCCATTGTTGATCGGTACCTTTCTTGAGACTGAAACGATCAGGAATCGCTAAGAACAAATTATTATATCAATCTCTCAAAATTTCTTAAATATTCATCGTTGAATACCTTATGATGATAATATACATAAGCATCATATCAAAAATAATATTCAACTAATAACAACAATAATAATAATAACAATAATAATGTTAGTAATAATAATAACTATAATAATAATAATGAATGCTAGTAATGGTCAACAAAAAATACTGATGAATAATGAAACTAAGAAGTAACAAACGAATAAAAGAGTCATTACCTTGTCGGAACACCAGCCACAAAATTCAATAAACCACGTCTTCGTAATGTTTCATGCACGTCCAAAAGCATACGACTATTATTCTTCTCATCGTAGCATTGGGTGAATAACGGCACTATCATCGTAGGGTATGCCGCATCGTTCAGGTATCCTCCACGAATGTTGTAATCGTACCACGCACCTTCCTTTTTGTCATAAAATACTTCCCAAAAGTCTTTCATAAACTTTCTGTACATCTGCTTGTACTTCTTCGCTTTTTCACATTCACCTGACCAATAGTATTTGCAGCAATAGCGATGAAAATGATAATAATATTGTATTATCGTGAGTATCACTCTTATTGTATTCATTATTTTTATACGAGATGATAATGATGTGCATAAAAATGAACATAACAACACAGTGATAAACCGATAAAACAATGATAACTGTAATAATAATGGTTCAGTATATTCGAAGCATTAAGAAATAACTGAAAAGTGATTGATACCAATTACTGAGGCGAGTTCTGATAAAATGCGCATATTCCAGCAAAGGATGGCATTTAAGTCAACCGGAACAATGTTTATCGTATCAATCGATTCCATGTTTTTTCTATCCGCAAACCATCTGCTGCTAAAGTCCCAACCCGATTCCGCAGCACTCGCTATATTTCTCCATAATTTATGCTTACTGTCATTTCGCAATTTTTCTGCTATTAAATAATCTTCACGATACGATTCGGGTCTGTAAAGCATTCACTCGTTTTCATCAAATAATTTCGATTGACTGATCAATTATTGCTCAATTAATTGATCAATTACCGACCAATTATTGATTATAGCACTTTGAATCGCATCGATTTCCTAACAGTCGCTCATTGTTAACCTCAGATTTGGATGAGGTTTAGAATCAGACTTAGGTGGACAATCGAACACGGTACATGCACATCGTATATAATTATCAACTATATATCCAAGGAGATGACCGAATTGATTCTCGAAATGTATAAACGGACTGTCAACCAGAGTAGGGTTACTTCTCGACCCGAGAAACTTCTGCACTGATGGCAATTTCGCAAAATATCCTATTTCTGACATCGTCGAACAAACGTTCTTTCCAAGAGATGAATGCACCAAAAATGCAGAATCACGGTTTCTGGCAAACATATACCTCTACATGAAATAACTCGTGTCATTATTGCTTGAGAGGATTATTCCTCTCTGTAAAACATATTTTTTGCTCCAATAAATCTAGTTTAACGGATGCGAGAATTTCAAATATCTATTGTATAATTGTAGTGTTGGAGCGTCTCAGAAGCGTTATGCCCTAGATATTGAATTAGGATCGTTTGGACAATTGAGTGTTATCAGTAGACATCAAGTGATGAGATTGAATTTGTGAATCCGAAAAGTTGCCACTGAACGCACAAACCGAGGAACATTGCTTTCAGCTCTGTATTGGAACATATTATAATCCTTTTTATTGATCGTCACTTTTACTCGGCGCCTCTTCGTCCAGTAACCGAATTCCTGAAAAGTGGAAAATGAATTATCGAAATGTCAATGAACAGTCACTTTCCCAGGCGATTACTATCGAAAACGTATTGTCAATTAGATATCCCCTTATGCTCCATACGTTCAAGAATTAATTATAGGATAGGACTGGTCATATGAGTATGGATTATGGTTGCTGTACGGTTTTCACAAGATTTGGGAGCAATGTAATCTATTTTAACGGATATATCAAGAACATAAATTTCTTTCATTTTTTTGATTTTACGCAAGGATTATGCACACAATAGCATCAACAATCGTGTTGTTGTGTGAGATCAGTCTAAATTCACCATCAGCTCCAGTGAATATAGCGCAAGCCTTCTCCTTATCTTGTGATAAAGCTACAGAGAAACCACAACCTAACCAACTCTTCTTGCTCATATGACCTTTATGTTCGTGGATGTAACATGCAGGTTAGAATTGTCACTCTCATGATTGGCAGCAGACGCAATGGAAATAGTGTTGGGTCGGTGATCACCGACGGTCGGTAATCACCGAAAATCGGTCGGTAATCACCGACGGTTTTNCTCGGTCGGTGATTACCGAGAAAAATCTTGCGGTTCCCAACACTAAGTGGAAACAATTCACGATTTAAATATCACAAAAGTTCCAAATAAAAAATCCGTACAGTTTCCATTGCCGCAAACAATTCCGCGACTGTATCTTCGTCTTTCGTTTCCGCGTAATATTCATTCACCATTGGAATGAAGAATGGTGGCTGTGATCTGCGTAGATAATATAAACGACCGCCGTTCGGTATAAAACCAAACTTCTCGATCATATGTTGAAAATTCTCTAGCATTGCTTTGGTGGTTTCATGTAGCCCTGAAAATAATATTGACTCTAATGCGCATATCGGGTCGCTTCGATCCTACACCAGTTTCGATCGAATGGCGTTCTGCTATCTGATGGAACCTTGAACTCTGATTTGGTGACACTTTTGGAGGATCCCCCAAGATCCATATGTTGTTTTTTTTTCGGTAAATTCATTTCATTTCAAGAAAAAAGTTACTATCAGGAGAAAATGACTACTCGCCGAACGCATTTTGGGATAATTTTGATGCCATCCCAATTTTCATTAATGATTGTTGATATCCATCAATATTAACAAATATCATCCTCTGCGTTCCTAATCAACTGTTAGACCATAGATGAGCAAGTGATTCGGTCTTTATGAATAGCAACTATAATGCTCATGATGATGATGGTGAAGACTTCATTTCAATTCTAAACTGCGAATCATTCCCTTGCGATCATACTTCATCAAACTGATATTCAAAAGTGATCAAATGTGCATTTTTAAAATGCTATTCAGCACTTATGTGGATCAAGTTAGTCACCGTTAATGTGTCAAACCACTCAATCTCAGTTGAAATTCTCAAATTTCCCATCGGGCAGAATTCCCTTTCCGCCTATGAAAACCACTATACGAAAACGATTGACGAAAAGCAAACGATTCAGATAAGCGTACCAGAAGCCAGAAGTGATTCGGTACATAGATCAGCGAATGCGTGTTGGCACCACTTACGACCTTGAAATTGTTCAAAGAAATCTTCCAACAAAAACTCAACGATGTTCAGTTGAACAGAGGATATTCAACAGAAATTAAATTGATCCGAATTTGTTACATAGTTCAGACTGTTATTGCTCATGTGAAAAAATATAATTGACAGTCAGTTTGTTTTGTTATCTCTTTTGTTCGTAATGCGGCGAAATAATCATGCTATAATCGCTTACGGTGCGGTCAATCCTAAGCTTTTAGCACCACTCAGCTCACTCGTTTGAATTCAGTTCTTCAAAGGAATTGTTGTAAACGAAAGCGAATGTATGATATGTTTTAGTTTACGATAACTCACTTCTTTTGGCATTTGACGACAAAGTTTACTCCAAATTTTGTTAAGGGTAAGTGCGAATTCATTCAATCGAGGATCACGAATATGACTCAATTTTGGCGGATTTTCTTGCCAATCCGGTAAATCGCAACTGAAATAAACAATTCTCCGTTCGGCAAATACAAATACGGAAGTGAGCGTTGCTCCACTCAATCGCAGCGCAGCTTCTTTTCAGTCTTCTTATAAATACAAATACGGAAGTGAGCGTTGCTCCACTCAATCGCAGCGCAGCTTCTTTTCAGTCTTCTTATAGCATCAAGTCTTCCTCGACCTGGGGGCACTGCTTTCTTTGATAGTAATACTGTTCAGTGTCACATTTCATGTGGCTTGAATGGAATGGAGTAGATTCCCGAAAACGCTGAGTCTTGATTGAATTCAATATTCGATACTTTCCCAATTGACGAGTACCGTTGGCTTTGTAGAAGTGAGGATACGAAATATTTAGATATGAAAGGATATCGTTTGATTTGCAGAAGTAAAAATAAGAAAAAAGTATGGAAGTAGTGGCATTCAGCAATGAAAGATATCACAATTGCTGAATGAAGAAGCATCCCAGCTATCTTACAAACCATTTTTTGAAGTGACCGTTCGCAAAGAATGTGTCTAGCTCAAAGGAATATTCCTCTGAACTGTTAGAAATTCGAGCATTCGAAAAGATCGCCTTGATTTTGAACATGATAATGAGTGAAATGCGAATGATATCGAAAGCTTCAAGAAACAATCAATAGACTCACTGGGACATCTCCTGACTGATTGGGTGAAAGAATTCATGCACAAACTCTCGAACTTTCTCACGGTCACCGTAAGTGATCTTGCCCGGGAAACGTCTCGTGAATTCAGCCATGATCGATTTTGCACTCGTTTTGAGTGGTTTATCGACGAACGCTTTCGAGTCTGTATACAAGTGCAGCATCATCACTGCGTGTAGCAATTTGCCTTGACAGTAAATAATCGCACTCGGCGAATCCGATCTTAATTCAGTGCAGTTATGTCATCGAACTTTTCGAAATCCTTTTATGACGTTTTGAATGATTCTTCAGTCTCATTCAGTTCACTGCCTCTTTCACTAGAACTCAATTATCTCAGGCAATTGATTCATCCCTAAGCTCCACATAAGCGACACCTTATAAAAATCCCTGAACTCCATCAATATTCATCATTATTGATATTCATTAGATCACAATTATTGATTTTAGATTATTCATCTATTAAATCAACCCATTATCTATCAGTAGAAGAATCACACTGATCACTGAATTCAATAAGAACGTGATCATTGCAATTTACAGCGAGGAAAGTACTGATCAACCAAAGAAATCACAAGAAAGCCGCTAGTCCGTAATGCTTATCAAGCTTATCCCTTTGGCCTTCTCGCTCAGTACTCAGCATAAGTTAACAGAATAATTCTAAATAACTTCTTTTTTGGTTCGTTAAGCTCAATAAAATGAAACGAAAATTAGCGATAAAATAGCGAATTTGCTTTTCATAAATTACAAAAATTGTTTTTCAATAGGATCTAGGTCAGTTTGCTGTTCTGGTTCAGCACATTAATTCTGATTTCTCATAGAGTCTGTCCGGAAAACTTCATTGATAACGTTGAAATGTCGGCACAAGTAAACAACGGAACTCACTCATCACAAGCATATTGTGGTTTTTCATAGTCTACGCTAATCACATCTTCTATTGGAGGTATCTGGAGAACTTTGTCAAATGAGATTGGATCAAAATTTTCGTTATCAGTGTTATTGCTCTGCGGCTTTGACTTGTTCGTTTGAGTCGGTTGCGATTCACACTGATCAAATGAAATGAACACAAGAATCGTGACAGTGATTATCGACTGTATCAGGTGATCCTTATATGTTGCCATTCCACTGAAACATCAAATGATTAAGTGTATCATTGGAATCGATGACCATTTATCGGTTAGTATTCAGTTTGTGGAAGTATTCATTGGTTTGTATCTAATCCTGGAACGCACTCATTCTGACTTTACCGCATAATTGATAGATTCCAGGTTTTTTTCAAGGCTAACGATTTAGTTCGATCACAGTTGTAGATTTCCAACTTAAGGCAAGAATGTGAGCTGAACTCTTCATATGCAATAAATGAATAAACCCTGGTAATTTCAATGTCTCATCGCGTCTTCTCCTCATGTCAGTCAGCATCACAGAAAAGTTAAAACACCTCAGTACGCCATTCGTTTTCAAGTGAGAACGGCAACTGCAAGCGGGACTCGAGAAGGCCGAAGTTTGAAAAAAATGATTGAAAAAATAGGAAAATTCAGACAACTCAGTATGTGTCAGAATCTAGCTAGTTCAGCAGTTTGATCTATAAACAAAGCAACCGAATTTGTCTGTTGACGAGATGCATGGTGGAACTTGTGTTTATATAGATAATAGGATGGGAATCAGAACTGAAATGTTAAACAATTCTGTGGGATTCTAAAAATAATGACAATGAGTGGGGAGCGTGGAGCTGTGCATTCAAAAATTTTCCAAACCATTCATTATATGACCAGACAAAAATGGAGAAGTACAATAGAGTTTGAAAGAATTTATTCAAATAATATGCGTGTTTTGAACTATAATAGAATAATGAAAGTAGTTTCGACACCAACAGGACTAATCGGAATGAATAATTGGTAATTTTCAATTCGCAATTCGAGCATTTCAATGGTCATATGAAGGAATGAGAATTGGTGTGCTGTTTTTGCGATTCGATCGGGGAGAATGATATGCAGATAGAGAAATATGCGATGAATATAGCAGAATTGATAAGTCATTAAATTAAAGTGAATACAATACGACCGATTCATCTCACACAAGCAAACGCCATAAATGGAAATTTGGCTTGTGAATAATTCGTCTACGAACATCTTTTTCTTCAAACTCGAGATTTAGCCTAATTGAATTTCGGCCTATTGAAGTGTTTAATTGCGTAACTGTTCAGTGAACCAAACTTCCCAGGAATGGCGCATTTTTTTCAAATCGCCTGAGACTGAATCTTAGGCTTGGCCAGAGCTCTGCTTAGTCCTGAACTGTTTCTAGGTTTGACTATTTCCGTAAGCAGATGCGTGCGATTGAATAAGTCATGATAAAGAGATGATGTGCCATAGTTATAAAGATATTTCTAACTATAAGTTATATCTCATATGATCTTCTCGAAGACGAACTCAACTTTAAGCAGACAATCCAATATATCCATTCACTAACCTTCAACCGTTAGTGATCCCGACGAGTAAATTTAATAATATTAATGCGATCCAACCAACCAAGTGGATCGCTTCGCGAAACAATAACAAAACGTTGAAATCCATTGCCTTTTTGATGATCGGAAAACGATTCTGAATATTGAAGTTGTTTGCTGAAATTTGTTTACGTTTAGGATGTTGAAAATTTCTGTGAAATTTTAGGAATATTTTATAAAAAGCATATTATAGGAAGAAAAGATTTCTTTCGAAAAAAATTTCTGTGAGAACATTTCTGTGAAAAAGAAAGCATTTATAGAAAACATTTCTGTGAAAAAAAAAACAAAAAAGAAATTTTAGAAAGCATATTCTGTCGTCGTATCGCGGTGTAGTTCGACTTCGTTTGCTGTGAAACCATTGGACAGTACGGGCGAGCGCAGATACATCTCTGAGATCGCCAAGTCAACCTTCCTGATTAAAATTTGATGAGAACGCATGGTTTTCGTCACGGATATAATCAACTTTACGGTAGGAAGGATGCCAAGGGAGGACGAATGCGATATTTTCATTACAATTTAGTAATGAATAGTATCTGATTTTCATGGATGGTAATTTTTCTCGACCAATTTTATTTGTACTTGATCCAGTAAAAATTTGGATAAGAGTACCTCCAACCTCCAACTTCAATGCTTTTTCATATTAAATGCAAATTTCCTTCCTGATAAACATTTGCATTTACTTGATATTTGGACATCGAGTGGTTGGTTTTATCAATCGACGCGAACGATCTGTGGAGTATTTTTTTTTCAAATTTTAAAGTTAAAAAATTGAACTCTATTAACACGTTCATACACATCCTCAATTCATACACAACCACCTTGATATCCCCAAATTACCCTCACCTCATATGAGAAACACTTACATAGACAATGGTTACTGCGATTGCAATGTGTGCCTCCTTCTGCAAACCAATGCAAGCAAGCATTTCCAAAGGGTAACTGATTCGTATAAATCATTCGCGTGTTGCAATTCAGCCCCTTCTAATTGTAAGCCTAAGCTTAATTCAAGCCAAAACTGAACTGAATTCGGGTGATTTCTGAAGGTCGTCGGCATGTTACTCGTTTATCAAAATTTTCATTCTCGGAATATCATCCAAATTTCGATCATTCTCATTTGTTCGCTATTTGTTTCACACCGAACACAACTGAATACTTAAATTTAGAAGTAATGCAACGTGATGGCGATTGTCTCGAATATGACCGACTTCAATTTTTATTGTAAAAATCGAACGGGAACATCATGAAGTTCAAAAATGAGGAGAGATATGAGCGTAACAAATGAGAACGTTAACGATGTCAATTAAAAACAGCA